ATTCACCTCTTCAGGTGATATATCATTCTTATCTGGGTTTACTGAACCACAACAGCAAATATAGAAATAGTCCAACTTGCAGAGAAATTTAACAATCGGGATGTTTCTAAATACTATTTATTTATGTAAAAAGAAAACCAAAACCAGAAATGTAAGCAGATATTCTAATGAGATACAAATATCAGGAAATTTTGGAGTTTTTGATCAAGTTAACAAAAAATAAATGTTTACTAGGTAAGTCAAGAGTTACCCAAAGGTGCATCTCCAAACTAAGGATATTGCACCTGAGAATAATAGTTCATCTATGAGAATTTTAAACAATTAAATATTTGTACTAAGACAGATATTTGTATTTGTTAAAAATACAGAATTTAAACCATGAGATACTGCACTTTAGAACCGAAAATACTCCAAATCTAGTGCATACACAGACTCACCATGAGTTTCAGTCATGAAAATCTTGGCTCACAAGATCAGGCCACTGGCAGCGATCCAGCAACTTAATTAATTTAAGTTAGCATAACAAAAGAATCAACAAATCTTCACTGTGAACTATCCAGTTAGAATAGAGAAAGGGCAAGCTCTTATGCCTGACTTTTTACTTCCAGTATTGGTTTACAATGTAAATGACTCATATGATATTTTAATCTTATTTTCAGATTGTTTTGATGACTACTTAAAGAAAACAAAATGCTGTAGTAAAGAGAAGATAAAATGGTCTGACTTCATACACAATGTGATTTAGATGAAGCAGAAGTACTTGGTGTGACACTGATTTTTTCTTAGATGGCTCTATCTCTTCAACTCAAGAAAAGCAAAATTCTAAATTCTGTATGGAGGAGATAATGTAGCAATATTTCAACGTAGGATAGTTTATTACATAAACAGTATGTACAAATTCTAAACATGAAAATAGTGAGTAGAAGAAATCAGACCCTATTTACATTTATATTTTTTTACAAAATGTTTTTACAAGAAGTGTATATTTTTTCTCTAAATAACAGGACAAACACATAATACCAATCTTTCTGTATTACATACATAAATAAATATTGACTTTAAATGACTGTTATAGGAACATAATTTCTACAGCCAATTTGGGTAACAAAGAAGCATTTGTTACCTCTACTACAATATAATTAAGTAAAAAGGAAAAATTTTACATATAGACCTCTGTTAATTACTTTGTAAGTTGTACCTTACTAATATATCAGTAGAGGTAATATAGTCGTTACATTTCATGCCCACAACTGAACAATGAGTTTTGGCATGCAAACCCACATATAATCATCAACATCTGCAGGTATCCATTTACATTTTTTTAAATAAAGGGTTTTCTTAATCATTGAAAACTACATGCAACAGCTTATTAGTAGCATATTCCTGGTTAAAATGCACAAGTTTGCATAACATTGTTTTTAGTAACTGATTTTCACAGGTACTGATCAAAAGGGTAGGAACATACTTGGCACATAGTATAAGAAAATGAATTAATTAATAAATAAGTCAATATCACTATGACATTTACATATACACAAAAATAAAAATTTTTATGGTGTTTTACAGAATTTAGAACTGTCTGGTTCCCCCACTTTGTTTGACAGGGCCCTGATTTAAGACATTATTCAAACAATCTCTGACATCTATGCTTGCTTGATTTGAAGCACCACTAAAGCTCATTCTTAACTGCACAGGTTTACTTCCATCCCACTGACTTCCTTTTTGTCAACCTTCCTGAATCAGGACCTGCTTATTGGAAACTCTCTCTGACTCCAGCTGGGAGCATGAAGATGAAAATATTGTGAAATAAACTCACTCACTATTAAGATTTCTATACAGTTCTGCTAATACCAATTAGCAGAATAGCCAAATTCCTATTCACATTGGCAATGACTTTGTGTGTGACCAAGCCAAGTATCAGTGTCAGCATTGCCACACCATGTCCTTAGCTCTTTCTGAAGCCACTAAGTTGAGGATGTTCAATGTTTAAAAAATCAGACTTATTTATTGTCTGTGTGCTATATTGTTAATGAATATTCAAGTTGGCACACATGGGTGATACAGCACAAGTTCTATCTTATTTTCTCCTGTTCTATAAACAATTCAAAAATGGTCAAAAAAAGATATAATGAGAACAAACCAGTTTCTTCTTATATAAAAATCACCAACGAACAAAAAAAATCCACTTCACAAAGCAGTTAGCAAAAATAGCATAATCTTATAATTCTCCTTTAAGAAATAAACAAAATGCATCCTGAATTCAACTGACAAATCCATCAGAATCGTACACAGTAAATAATACATTAGTGTAAAGGTGCAGAGTATCTTAAAACATACTAATATCTCTAAGATCATCCCAATATTAACTCTGAATTACACAACATAATGAGAGAAATCTTTAACTAGGGAATTAAGTAGCAAATTGCAACTCTATTGCTGAATTAAATGTTTAATGTGGCTTAGTCTAGTAAATTAGGACAATACCCTGTGTGATTCAGCAAAGCTTTAGAATTAGGCACTAAACACTTCAAATCTGTACTGCTAAATTTAAAAAAAAAATCACAAAATCACTCACAGCTGGGAATTTAACATCCATGCATCAGCTTTGTTGACTTTGTATTTTTCATTTCCGGAGGGTGACTCGAAAGGTGAGTTGATAAGATCATTTGTAGAAGGAAAAAATAATTTACATCTTAGTGGACTCTATATAATACACTTGATCAATAGATTTCTGCTTTATCAACTTTTGGTTTTGATCAATCTAGTTCAGAAGGGAAAACCTCTCAGTGTTCTTCAAAAGTCCCTTGTTACTTAGAACAGAAGAATGCTTCAGAGAGAATCAGCAAACAGTAAGCATTTTGATTCTTCTCAGGAGGGTGATTCTATGAGGATGCAGGGCTCCTGACTTCCTGCTTAACTCCAATGAATTGGCATCACTGTAACAAAGACCAACATCACTACAGTGCCATGCTCTACAGTGTCACTACGAATGAAATGCAATTTCATTAACATTAATCAAGTCACTGTAGATTTGATCCAGCACAACTAGAACAGACTGTGATTGAAACGTTTGGACAGAATTCTTCAGAGAAGCCTGAGGTAATTACTTTCCCTGATCCTGCTGATCCAGCAAACACCACAAAGATCACTTCTAGACTCATCTATGCCCTGTGCAATCCAAATGTGAAAGCAGTGCTGCATACCAGTCCAATCCAATGCAAATTTTGTTTTCTTTGTAAAAACATACACATGAAACATTTGCATCCTGACAAAAATATTTCAGACTTTGGCATTCTGAAAACACTGAAAATAAACCTTTATACTACCGATTTTTGGAAGAAGAGTTCATCTGTTAATTCGCTAATGTATTTTGGGAAATAGAGGAAGGAATTAAAAGCACCATAGCCTTTAATATACTTCAAGCTATTGTTAAAGGCCCAAACCATGTAGCAATAGAAAAATGTCTGGGAAAATTCTTGATCACTAAGTGAATATCAAAAAAGACAACAAGCAAAATAGAAAAGGAATAGAAAAGAGCCCTTTAAAACTGAAAGTAAAATTATAGAAAAATTGTAATGAGTAAGTGATCAGAAATTAAAGTGCTTTCCTTCTCCCCCTGTGGTATAAATGCTGTAAATTTCAGTATAGACAAACTCACTATTTCGTGAACATTCTGCTATGATAAGCATAGCAGATCCTCAGTTTCAGATAGGTTTTTCTTCATATTTGCTTTTTCACAAAACTGTTTGTCATCAAGACAAGAGAAATATATGTACCACTAATGTCCAAACTCCTCTTACTGAGTATCTCAGAAAAAACATGAAGCACAGGTGAGTCTGTAGCATCTGCTGGTAGAAAAAGTGGCCACTTTATCCAGATGGAGTCAAGTTTTGAGGAACATTAGTCTGATGTGATGATTCAAGGAGCAATGGAAACTGTGCCAAAGAATTCAGGAGCACTTTGAACATCTTGAACATTAAGAGCTGATTATGGGTATTTGTATGGATGTTTATTGGCAGATACTTTCCACCCTCTCAATAATAAATCCAAGCAGTTTCTGTTTACTATTGAGACATGTGTCTCCGTGTAACAAATTATTCTAGACAGTTTATATTGCACAACAAGGCAATACGAATTCCCTTATGGTTAAAAAGGGCACCCTTCTGTCTAAATTTGAAAAATGAATTCAAATAAACTATAAGCCAATGTTTTCCAGATGCCAGAATATTGTCACATAATTCTTTCTGTAAGCAGAACAGCAAAATAGAGCCAATACATCTATCCTTCTGTTCTAAAGATCCACAGGGAAAAGAAATATGTGCATCACAATTCAAAGCCAAAATGCAGCTATACAGCTACTTGAATAATAAATGTGCCTCAGAATTTCAGTTTCTAAAACTTTAATGTTAACTATTCAAATTTTTAACAAGAAAATTGGTGTTTCTATTCAAGATAATATTATACCTTGAAATATTACGTATCAAAAAATTGTAAGCAAGATTTTAAAAGTTATTCTTCTATGACCTATCAATTAATTCCATTCATTGCCATCGATTTTAAACAATTCTATTCATTTCCATTTGTTTCTCTACAGTGGTATTTCTACCCTGTATATCCTTTAACTATTTACTACATTAATAGAAGAGCTACATGATAGAACATTAGCACTTTAGACCAGATGGGTAATATGTATGTATCATCATCCTCCTCCATGGTGATACTGCAATTATTAAAAGCTGGGTATTTCAGGGTTTCTGCTACTGGTATTTATTTTACTTATGTCCTTATTTCAGACAAATGGAGATATCCTTTAATAGCACAATACACTAGGGCTTAAATTGGTGACAGGCAGGACTTTAAGTAAAATAGATAATTTGAATCCACTGATGAGAACATGGCCTCTTTCAAAGGTATGTATATATCACAGGACCTTGCAAATAGTAATATAGAATTCAGTAAGAGAAAAAGCTGTATACACCGCATCGTTTCAACCTACTTTAAACACAGAATACGAAAATATTATAAGGAACAATATAATGAACATTTTCTCACAGGTGTTAAGTTGGATGCAATCTTCAGTTTGTTGAATAGTGCTGGTACTGAAATGATACTTGCTGTATGATTCATCTTGGTGATGGTGCAAACATTATTCTTCATGGCTAAACTACAGAGAAATAGATACAGATCGTACAGGATGGTAACTTCCATTGGAAAGCTGGGTTCACTGCTCCAACAGATGTGCTGTTACCCAGCCCTCATTTGGAAGCTCAGTTTTTTCCCTCAGTTATTTGTATAATCATCTGAAACAGTCTAGTATTTCTCTGGGGATGGCTTGTAGTGATGTGGATGATGTTGCTTCAGATGAGGTCCTAAATAAAAGAACAGGAAATTATGCATATATCAAACCCTGGATATGTTATGCCAACATTTATCCATACTGAAAAGGCTTTGTGAGACTTTCAGCTCTAAATCCTTCAGCTTATTAGTGCTGAGTCTGTGCTGACAACTATGTGTGTTTTCAGTTCAGGCAACTTTAGTGGGCCCATGAAAGGCTCACTAAATTTACTAAATTGACTAAATTTGTCAAGCAGACAAATTTTGAACTAACTGTATTTTTTATTTGGCTTTGCAAATACTGAGCTGCATTTTTCAGAAACACATGAAACATTGGAAATGGCCATTAAAAGCTTTGCATTACTTGAGAAATATATTTAAGCTCTAGCCATGCTGGACCCATGCTGGACTGAGAGAACCCAGAAAAATTTAATCTTGAAAGCTACGTAATCCTCCAAGCTGCACCTGGAGCACAGACCAAGTGCTACAGGCATAAGCCAAAGAGCTGTGGCTGCAACAAATGGCAAATATTAGACCACAGAAACTGACTGAGAAAAAGACTGGGTTTGCTACCACTGTTCCTGATGGACAGTTATGGGGGAAAAAAGCCAGTATTTTCACACATCTAAAGTTTATAGAATGCTACTGGAATCAGTAAAAACTCTAAGGCTTGAAAAAGGCTTCCAGTCTTTACAAGTGGAAGACTGAAATTTTGCAACGTGTCACCAGCAGATGTGTGAACAGTGCAGTGCTTACTGTGGGGTGCAAATGGAGGAAGGTCAGGCGTCCGGAAGGATTTGATCGTGGCTGGCCCTTCCCCTCCAGTGGTCAGCACTTGAACTTCCAGGCGGTACAGCATGGAGGGCCTCAGGTTGGGCACAGTGAGTATGTAATGATCCTAAAAAGAAATAAATCACTTCTCAGACCATCGGAAAATAAAACATAGCTGCTCTACTCACACACATCAGTCAGTGGTTTAAACAGGTTCTATCACTGTCAGCAGCTACAAATTATTTTCATATCATTCCGTTAAAAGAATTTAAGGTATGCAAGAATTTGTTGAGTGAGTGTGTTTTGAATTTGAATTTGTTTTTGGATTTTCTTGCCATTCCCTTTGAACAGACACATTTTTAACCATAATACTATGGTTTCATGTGTACAAGGTTCAAGCTGTTAGAGACTTTTATAGCAAGTGTGCTGGTCACTTTAGTGATGTGCTCATTACTAAAAAATGAATTAAAATGTATTTTCCTAACCATCCTTTTTAACAAACACGTTCATTACATAAACTTGTTTTTATTTTGGATTTGCATTTGAATTCTACTAATTGTAAATTTAAGTAGTGGCTGGCCTGGGGACACTTCTGCAGCAAGTGAAAAGAAAAGGGTGTCCACACTAATTTCAGATTTGTCCAGTTACACCATAAGAATTTGTCTTCTGTTCTTAAGGTCATTTATGGTGTGATGGACTCACTTTTCACTGTTCCATACCTTTTGTGGTCACTTAGACATGTGCTGAATAATTTCAAAGGAATTTTATAGAAACTTCCAGATGGGAATACATTTGGCTAAAGACAGACAGATATTAAGGAATCAGAAGTCATTCATCTAAATCAAAATCAAAACTATAAACCAAAGCATCATCTGCATTAAGTTGGAACAAATCACTCATTTATTCCAAGCTGTAAGCCCCAGTCCCAGGAATGCCAGCTGGATCACTGATGCTGGACAGTGTGGGCAACAGGGTGTTCCTGCCACCAGCCAGGCTGGTCTGGCCAGGAATCCACAGGACAAGTTATTCTGGTTGGCACTGTACCTGCCCCATTGGGACAGCTAGAGCACATTGTGGGAATAACTTTGGTTACTCCTGTGGGATGATTTGCTGCTACTCCCTGAGCAGACAGTAAAGAGGAAAAGAGAGAAAAAGTAGGGAGAAACGTGTTGTTTTCTGGCTGAAGCTGTTCTATCTCATATAAAATCCTGCTTGGGTAGGGCAGAGATAGGAGTGCATACATTGCACTCGTACACTCACTCTGCTCATTCAGGTGCTCCTGCAATAGTTGGGCCCCGTGCATTTCAGCCCTGGTTGTGTAAAATACCGTATTTTTAGTCAGAGTGAATGGTCCTTGGCATAAAATACTCTAAATTTTGGTGGTTTCTGAGAGATAGCAGATACTGTTTAAACTCAAATCAGAGCCTTCTGCAAGTTAAGTTAGGTGCTATAAATAGACAGATATAAACAGGGATAGATAATTAAAGACATCTCCAGGCTCTATAGTTTAAAATGTTCCATGATTCATCAAGAATAGTAGCTATGCTTTGTACCTCCATCAAGTAGGAAACATTAAGCACTTCCTGCTCCAACTTACCTGCAGAACCAGTGTTTGACATCTGCATCACCACTAAACATCACAAATGAGCCACAGACACACAAACTTAGGGAGCCAGTGACAGAGGAGGGTAACAAATGACTTACTGCTGGCAGTATCTGTGACTGCGAGATGATGCTGTTGGGTAAACTGTTCTGCCGGCTCTCTGTGGTCACTTCTGCCCAAGTGACCTGAAACCCTGTCATGGGCTGGTGAAGATCTGCCTTGGATATCTTCCAGCTAAAATGACCAGTGATGTTACCTTCCTGAACAATGAAAGATGCAGACAGATTCTCGGGTTTGGCCAACACTTTGGGTACGACTGGCACTATCAATTTGGAAAGAAAAAAAATAATAAAAAGATAAGCTAAACTTTTAGAGATAATCTTCAATAATATTCATTTAATTTCACAAATCAAGGTCAGGCAGAGCTGTGTTTCTGGTGTTACACAGTATCCAGTCAGCTTTCTACCACCACATTTTCAAGTGTTAATGAAAAACCTACGTTTGATATATTCCACTGACATTTTGGGCCAAACTCAAACTTCAGATTAAATGCTCTCAGCTGCAGGTACAGAAAAGAAAGCTATGGTATGTGAAGACCTAAGTGCCACATTCACAGGGAGCCACTCTCCTCCTCATATTTCAGAACACCTGAACTCAGACTGGAAGTTTTGGGACCACAAGAAAATGCACAGGGTAGCACAGAACTCCATAATTCAGCCAAAAAGTAAAATTCATGCATTAAAACTGTAGTACAACTTAAAGGGCTTCCCTCTAACCAGACAGAGAGGTATCCACATTTGGCAGTGCAAAGCCATGGCTGACCTGACCAAGTACCCGTGACCACAGAGGTCCTCTCCAACCAGTATCTACATAATTCTACAACTTCCATAACCCTCTAGTTACACATTGTGACAATACTGTAAAAGATATAAGGGCCTGTATTTCTGATTTGAGAGCAGAATTAACCTAAAAAAAATCAAATTGAAAAAGCAGCTTTCACCTGCAGATGGGTCATGCTACCATAATCATGTTTACAGTTATCATCCATCATTATAATAAATACAATTGGGAAACTGTTCTTATTTACAAAAAAAAAATCTCCAACAATGCCATTGCAAATATTATTGTATGTCCACTATGATTAAACTTAATTGACAAAACAGTAATAATATACTAGCCAAAATCGTTACTGCTGTGTATTTCTGCTGATTTTCTCATAAGCATTACTGATTTTTTTATTTGTTTTGAATATCTCATTTCCTGTTCTAGGACCGCTTTTAAAGACTCTCTTTTGGCGACTATAAATGCTTTTGGAATTATTTGGTAGCTCTCCAGATCGTGCCTTACCTCCTTCAGCAGGACAATTAATGTGCTTGTGTTTTTTTTCTTTAAATGCAGAGCAAGGTGGGGTAACAAAGAACGTACTCTCAGCCTTAAAACGACCTTTAGATTTTGCAGGCAGAATAGTTACTTTGTATTTGCATGAAAATGACAAGTCCTTCAGAATAATGTAGTTTTCCTACAATAAGAAAAACAAAAGATCACATGCTGCAAACGGAGCCCAAGGAAAAAAAAAATACGAACAAATTGAAAAATAACTTAGGCAAAAGATGAAAAGTTTTCTCAAAAAAAAAATCTTCCTGGATTTCTAACACATGCCAATGTGGTTTTAACTCAGAGAAGAAAGCGCAAGTATTGCCAACGTTATGATTATTTTCAGTAGTAAAATATATTAGCATGGTATTTGAATATGTCCTTCAATTCTACACAGTTCCTTCGACACTGCATCAAAGCAACTGACTTTTAATATTTAGAACAGTCTCTGTGAATGATGGCAGTGGGGGTAGCAATGTGAGGATATAAATGCTAATCGAATTAAATAAATGTAAGAAAGCTGAGTTAAGCTGCTGTAAATGACAGGCTTCATCTATGTTTAACTTTTTAAAAGCACATTTAAAGTTCAGCATGGCATTATGGATGCATATTTTTCCACTTCAGTACATTAAGTACTTCTATATTCTTATCAGGAAGAAAAACTCCACAGCTAATTACAAAGCACAAGTTTCTATTTAGGACAATGGGTGGAGAAGTAAACTATACAAAGTGTAAGTGTCCAGCATAATTCTTACTGCTGTCTGAAGTACTTTGGAAAATTACAGTCTGAAACCTTTAGCACAAATTATATATGAAAAAGAATGGTTGGTTGGTTGGTTGGTTGGTTGGTTGTTTTTTATTCCGGAAAAATCTCTAGTACTATGTTACTGACTAAGGTCAAAAGTCTTTCACTATCTTTTAGATCTTTAATCACTACCTTTTAGATCTTTAATTCCCTTCAGAATCACTAATTTCCCATGTTCTTCTGCATAACTCCCTCTTTTTTCTCATTGCAAATTAGTCTACCCTTCACTTGGAAGGTCATTTTCAATGGGACATATGGATTGGGCTGAGACTGGACTCCCAGCCTCCACCTGCTGGGAGAGTGCTCCAACAGGTTTGATGTCTCCTTAAATTGTGACAGGACTATTTTTATTTATCGTGACAGATTGGATGAACCACTACAAAATAAGTGGAAATAAGGAAAAAAGGAAATAAGTTCAATAATCCCACAATGCATTTGGACAGATGTCCAAACAGTCTTTCCTGACCTCTAGTGGAAATAAACTTCCCAAATGTTAAGTTTCTCCTATCTCCAATGTGCATATATTGAAATTTTGCAAAAGATCGTATTATTATGTCAAAATAATTTTTAAAGCCACCTCTAATATGTGCTTTGCTGACCCCATGAAGCAGTAAATCTTACAAGCCAGCACCATACTGTGTGAGAAATTATGTGTTTTGATTTACTCTTCTACATGCCACTAACTCTCCTGAATTGATGGGGTAGTACAGATCAGGGTAAGAAGGAAAGGTGAATTGTGATTTTGTCCATTCTGCATAACACACTAAATCAATTCTGATGCACCAATCACATCACTCTGCTGTTCAAATGACATTAGATTGCCAACAAACTGAGTATAAGTACTGCAATATATACATCTGGGCTGACATGTAGTTACATGGAGCTTTTCTCCCCATCTGATATCTGTCTGACTTCCAGATTTTCCAGATGTAATATCTAGTATTTGTTACCTACAGTCCTTCTTTTCTTATCTATTATTTTCCTCAGGGAGAATAATCACCTGAAACTCACTCGAATGTCTAAAAGAAAGCCTGGCTTATTAATTAATATTATTACTGTTCAGTATTTGCACTATGCTAAAGTCCTACATTATTAATTGCAGATAAAGCCCCATGTTCTATATGCTGTAGGGATAATGTAAGTACTTAGTTAAGAAGTTTGTCTAGTCTCATTTTCTGAATAACAACAAAAACAAATAAAACATTTTAGCCTAGTGTTTATTTAGGAAATCCAAACAACCCAAAACCAGTCCAGGTATATAATTTTTATCTTTTGCCAAAGAAGAACATAAAAAAGAAAGCGTTTTTACTAATCTATGAAACAGAGTATAACACATACTGTATTAGGTTACAGAACCATCCTTTCTCTTGCTGCCTAGGAACTACTCAAGTCAAGCAGGGGGCTGAAGGGAGACTTACGTAAGTCAGCTCTGTGACTTTCCTATGTCCTTTGGTGTCATTGTGTGCACAGGACTCCAGTAACCAGTGGACTTGGAATTGATTCATGCTGATATCTAAATGATAAAAAAGAGAGGAAAAGACATATATTATAAGTATGTTTTCACCAAAAGACGTATGTTTTAACCATTGCAACTCTTCTCTGGAAAAAAAACAGAAGGGCTTTTAAGTATTGTAGAGTTGGTAATTCCTCACGAAACCATCTTTAATATAATGGAGAAAACATCATACACCAATATAATTTAAACCTTGTATCAGCTAAAGGAGATAAAATAGTGAAATTTCATTTTCAGATATGTTACCATATACCGCATACATTAAATATATATATATATATTCAAATTCAGAATTTAAAAAATAATTTCAATGCTGCTACTTCTAATCATCCTGCAAATAATGGGACTGACTTGGTGTCATCTGCCTGACTGTTCACACTGTTAGAGCATTGCAATATTGCTGCCTGGCACTGCTTGAGAAATCTGTGCCTGAAGATATGTGAAAATGCCTGTAAATCCCCAAGCTTTCTTCTTTCAGGATATGCCATAAAACCTGTTCAGTATCTGTCCAAATAAAATTCTAGTCTTGACTCTTATGAGTAATACTGAAGGCTTACGTTTACTCCCATTTAAATCAATGACAAAACTTGCTGCAGTATCAACAATATAAGCTTTCAACTTATTTCCAGCTCTTCTAGCTTTTTGTCCAATAATGCTTGAAGAAGAAAGCAAAACAAAGAGCAAAAAAGAATTGACAAAAGAAGGAAAACTCATTAGGTAGTGCAAGTAGCTTCTGACAGTTTTCTGGGTTTCATTCTCTATACAGGGGATGCAAAATTATGTCTGTTATTATTAATTAGCTTGGTATGACAGAGCCACTAATGTGCCTGACTGCGGGTTTCAGGAGGGAAAACAAATATCTCTTATGCCCTAAGGGCTGATCTGGTATTAGACTGCTATGAGCAGTTTGGATGCAGAAGAAAAGGATTGTAAACTAAAGAGAAAATGACTAGTGTAGGAAAATAGCTGAAATGGCCCCTTGAAATAGATTTTTGCAATAGCTATTCTTCGTAAGAACATGTATGCTAATTATTTTTGCAATTTCTTTGGAAACAATGTTTCTTTCAAAAAGAAATCTATTAAAAATACATTTCCTGCTTTGTGATTGTACCCTCTCATTTAAAACACATAAAGAAATGGATGTGCTTTTGTTTGTTTCTTCATGTTTTCCCACTTGATGTGCCTATTGGATGAAAGACAAAAACTCACAGTGCATTTTTAAGTAGGTTTCAACTGATTTCATCTCTTCCAGGTCACTCCATTATGGAGTATCACCTGCTAGATGATCCTTAAGGGTTCTTCTGACCTGAACCATTCTATCGTTCTCTGATTATTTTAAACTATCTTCATGGGTGGACTGCTCTTTGCAAAGCTACAAAATGTGTATTTTCACTTGTAATACTTTTCACTTGAAATCTAGAAATAAATCACTCTCCTTTGGCTAAACATTTATCTAAACCTTGTAATTTTCCAGCACTCAGGGACTGGATAAAACACATCCCTAAGTTAGGTCACAAAACACCATTACATGGGCAATTGGGAAAAGACAATTCTCAACCATCAAGACCTTACAACAGCTCAGCATTCGGATATACTGGTGTAGAGGTTTATTAGGCCTCTGTTCAGAAATGTAATTCAAGGTAGAATCACAGAATCATCAAAGGGTTTGGGCTGGAAGAGACTTTAAGGATCATTCAGTTCCAACCCCCCTGCATGGGCAGGGACACCTCCCACTAGACCAGGCTGCTCAATGCCCCACACAGCTCGGCCGTGCACACTGCCAGGGATGGGAAAAAATAATTATTTCCAGCTACTGGCACACTGGAATCCTCCTTGTATTTTCAGGCAGATCCACCTCCATTCATTATGTGAGTTTCTACTCCCTCAGTCCTTTTCTTCCTTCCTTCCTACTTCTTTTCTGCATTAGCAAAACCTTAGTAACCCATTTGTAAACACCTGTGGTTTCAGGTAACTTCTCTACCTGAAGAAAATAGAAGTAGGTTAAAGAAGAATACAGAAAATCAGAAATATATTTAAAAAAACCTATCAGCTTGTACTGTAAATGTAGGGTGATGGTTTCCATAAACATGACTTCTTAATTTTATTTGAGCTAATGAATCTTAAATTTGATAGTATTCAGGTATTCTGATAACAACCTATACTGAAAAGAGATTTTTTTTTTTTCTTTTCAGTGAATATGTAATTAAAGGTTATCTGGAAAAGGCTTTTGTATCACATCTACAAGTACATCAACTGTTATAAACTGGAACAGCCAGCAAGACTAAAACTTCTTCAGTTCTCACCTCCATATTTACTATTGCTGTTATCTAAAAAAATGGAAGATACACAGGTTAAATGCCATGTGTTAAAAAAGAGAGAGGTAAAAACAATTCACAACAACCCCCTCCCAGTATTCTCCTTTTAAAAAATTTATCCTGTCAGTGTCTAAAGTCTGACTAATACAATGCAATACAACAGAATAAAGTACGAAATACAATAAGGAAGTAGCTCCTACTTTATACAGAAACTTTTTTAAAAATAAGGAAATGTGGGACATTTTGTGATTAAATAAAGCTAGAATACTGAAAAACTCAAAATGTGTATGTATGCATGAAGCATGCACATGAAATGACAGGATTGTTTTAGAAATTGCCTTTAATATTTTTAACAGCAAAAGGAGACAAAGTGCATGAAATTATCTAAAAAGCCCAATAAGAAACTGAGAAAAATGATGAAAATATGCCTTTGTCTCACAAAGTTGCTGGCAAAGACCATGACTCTAGAGTTTTATGAAACCTTATACAGCTGATTTTGTGTTTACCACACATGCAAAAGAAAAGCTTCTCCCATCCCTCCTTTCAGCAATGCACACTATCCTAGTGAGATCATTGCTCTAAATTTTACTTTGAATTTTGGGTTTAGCTGTCCAATACAAACTGAGGGACAGGTACTGGATGAGCTGCTCAAGCTGCATCCAGCTGAATGTCAGCCACTGCCACCAGAGCCAAGGGTTCTGGATCAAGTTCAGCTCAGGGTAATACACTGAGCCCACAGCCACACCTTTTTCCAAAAAGCCATTTGAGTAGTTAATATGAACAGAATATTCATTACCTAATGGGATTGATTTGGGGCAGTTTTATCAGAAAACTCAGCTATTCCTTCTAAAATATGTACAAAACACCGTGAAGAAATTGTCAGATTGCTTCAGTCTGCTTCCCTGCTATTTTAGATGTCACAGTATCAACCTCCTCCTGAATATCTGGAGTTTTCTCGATTCTAAATTTTCAATTATAAGTCTTTATAAAGCTTTTTAACTTCATTGTTCTCAAGGTTCTAATGTCTATCATTTGATACTAGAAATAGTGATGCTTGCAAAAACAGCAAATATTTCCCAGAACTCAAAATATTTATATAGAAACACTGAATGTGAAGGACACCATAAGTACTAGCACTCATTTGAGCAGCTCTAAGCTTGTGAAATTAGTCAACAAAATAGCCACTTAAGTATGAACAGCAGACAGCTTATTCAAATAATTATTTTTATTTTAAATTTACATAAAGGGAAAAAAAATAAAAGCAATCCAGGACAATTACTTCAAAAATATCTTAATGATACTGACATGGAAATTATCTCCACATACCTAAGCTAAAGGTTTTTATGTCTGTAAAACAAATGCACGTGATTAATCTTTTCAAATAAACAAACAGTTGATGTTAATTACCTTGACTGTGATTTTTAATGTAGATTTTCTGAAGTATAAATTGAGTTTCTAGACTTAAAAAAAAAAATGCCCATACAGATACCACATGATCATGTTCTTAAAATCCCATGCATGCTTAGCTCTTTTGCTCAACAAGGATATGCAGCTAACTTTGTTGGACAGAAATCTTACATCTTTAATTAGAAATGTATGGATCAGGGAATGCTGTAAAGCATGGGGTTTGGTTTTTTTTTAATTTACCACAAACTGCCTATATTTTCACATGAGTATCTCCACAAAGCTTTCTATCAGTAGTGTTTAGAAAGATGTTCTTCACCAGATTTTTGTGCTTTCTCTCCCTCTCCAAATTAAACTCCTCTGCTCTATTTCAATAAAAACAAATAAATATATTTCTGATTTTTCTGAATGGAAAATGTGCATTTATTCTAGATCTTCAAGCTGTAAAAACAGCTCAAAATTCTACTAATGTCAATGCCAACTACATGTATTTGCCACTTGGATAACTTCAGGCTCATATGCACAATTTAAGCATCTTAAATTAATAGACCTCAACATAGCCTAAGCCATGGCTGCACAATGGTTACTAGGAATACCCTGGGCTAAATCACAGAATTTAAAGTTCTGAGTATCATTCAAAAAAAATAAAATGTCAGGTAATTCTGTAAGTTCTCCTAGATGGAACATCTGGTTTAAATGGTTCTACAGTTTATTTAAAATAAAATAAATTTTAAAGTTTTTTTCCTTTTCTTTTTCTCATCTTTTTCAACCTCTTCCATGTTTCTGTTTTGTACAAATACAGCACTGCCAGCCATATAAATAATTTCATCTAATGTGGTTTCTTTTTTTCACCATGCTACTGCAGACAGCTACTTTCTCTCTGCCCAAAATACTTTTCTCAGCTTTATATTGCAGTTACTGTTCCAAGACGTTGCCAAATTGACTATCATAAGGAACTGAAGCTTGGAAGTGAAAAACTGGCATAGCATGGGCATAAATCTGCTCATGCAGCCCAACACCATCAATACAGAGCTTTTTACCCAGGAAACCAGGTACACAGAGGTATTTATTTCTTTGTATCCTCTGATCCACAGAAAGAAAATTGCAGCAGACTGTTTCTGCCACTGGTTTGCTTGAGGTCTTTAGGTAAAGTACTTCATGGCTCCTTATCTCTGTTCCACCCTGTCAAGTGGAGAGAACGATAAGGGTATGTATTGTAAAAGTGTTTCAGCTCTTGCAAGTTATTCCGACGTGGGTCTCTACTATTTGGTACAAAAATGC